TAACGATTAATGTCTAGCGCCTTGTAAGTAAGCACACAGCCGAGTTTTTGTGGTCACGATTCTGACCTACTGCTCAACAAGGCCCCCTCGGCGTTGATGAGGTTTTCAGAACCTTTCTGAGATCGCAAGTTCAACTTGATCGCAAGACGGTTGACTGAATCATAAGTGTCACAGTCAAGCCGGGAGAACGTTTACATGTCTGTCTCCTGGTGCCTCTCATGCGTTGCCGTGTATCCGCATGCTCGAAGCTCTGCGCCCAGCCTGTCATGCTCTATAACAATAATGAGGCGAAGTTGCTGAGGACTTCAACCAATTGACCGGGAGATCTCTCCATTCTTGATTTTTTATCATGGGCGGTAGCCGCTAAAATTGTCGCATGCCCTCACACCAACAGAAAAGGCCGCGCCCGAGTGCGGCATCACAAAATTCTCATTGCGGCCTAGCGACTTGGAGGTAACTTGGAAGGCCAGCGCTGAAACTGGTCTAACCAAAGTCTAACCCTGTTGTAGGTCTCTGGTTCGCAGGGTCAACGTTTTTTGAACTCCCATCGTTTTTCTGCATTATTACATAAAGAGCCCGTGGATCAAGGGGGGAGCAGGATTTGAATCTGCCATATGGGGTCGGTTGGTTAGTCCGGCCGACAGGCTGTTAAATTTTTTTATTTTAAGTACCAATTTCAGGTAATTTATGGGTTGGATGAGCTCAGTGTGCTGTCTGAGGCATTTTGCAAGCTGTCCTCACTTACCAAGTGCAGTACTTATGCTATTCTCACTCGTGAATTGTGATCCAAGAAGCCTGGTATATGATATAGATTGAGGATAATATTTGAGATGATAAAACTGTTATCTGTCCACATTGTGATTGTGGTGAGAGTATAGATGCAGTTGATTGAGGACGAAAGCAAAGTAATTATAAAAAGGCTGCGAGACATTGTGGGTAGGTCATTTTCTTTTCATGTCATTTCAGCCTGACCACTGACTATGCAGTACCACTTTTCAAGGGTTGGACTGCCAGTGGATCTTGGTATCAATGACTGGGTTTGTGACCCATGTAAGAACATGAAGAAAAGGAGAGGAAGGGGTGGCAAATGAAGGATAAGATGGCGGCTGACATCCCAAAACATGTTACTATTTATAGATTTTACCTATATATGGAAGGTTGTTCCCACGCCTGGTTGGTTAGTCCGGCCATATTGGCCTTACCAAAAAAATCAACATGATATATTAAATTAAAATTGTGCTCCCCCCTTGCCGTGGATTTTAATGGGCTCCATCCCTGAAGAGACTGCGAGCCGTTTAGCACTCATTTTCGTCGAGGCGTTCAAGTTAGGCTGAGAGTTGGAACTTGGACCAGTGCGGTATTTGTTTGAGTTTGTCTGTAGCTTTGGTTCAAGTTCAATGTCCAATTTCGTTCTTAGCCAATAACCTTGCAATCGCGATAACAACGCGATAACTCACACGTCAGGCGCCCAACTCTACGAGCACAAACTCATATAGCCTGGTATACAAGATGACTGGATTACTGTCTCTGCCCACGGAGCTTCTCCAAGACATTGGTGCCGAAGTAGCAACTTATCAGGAAAATCACACAGGTGTGGCGGGCCGTGAAGGCGTGGCCAAATGTGGCCGGCGTGATTGATCTGGCGCCACCTCGTCACAACTTTGATCCCGGTGTAAATTGAACCACGCGTGCCACAATGATCATCCGCGCCCACATCCCGGCGTAAATTGAGCCACGCATGTCACGATGATCATCCGCGCCACACTCAAAGATGTAGAGTAACAATAAATGAGACTACGTAGTACTGAACTTGTAGTTAAAAAAATGAGACTACAAAACTTGAAGTGTACGACTCAAATACTAGTACTAAAAACAAATCTCATTTGCGTGGTGGTCTGCATACTTGTTCACGTAAAAGGCTTCGAAGACGTCGAGGGACCAGGTGTGTGAAAAATGGGGAGGAAGGTATTGGCGGCCGAAGACGGGGATGAGATGTGCGGCGCGGAGGACAGAGTCCAAATGTATCACAGTGGTCAGCCGTTCTCCATTACGCGTGCACTCTGGAACAACATTCCACATGCCAGTAATCTTGTCTGGAGAGCGGCCGACCTTCTTGAACCATTCGACGAGGGCACAGGGGTAGGTAGTGTCGTTGTATGTGAAAGAGAAAAGGAGGAGTACGCGCACAGCACTCATTCCTCGAAATCCCGGTTTTGATTCATCCTCGACGACAAAAGCGCAGTCACGACGCTTTCCGGTACCTCTCCAGGAGGGCGTCGAACGGATGCGTTCCCGGCGCATTCCACGGATTCCAGATGGGTCACTGGGTGCATAGAATGTGGCGGCGGCGGAATGAAACACGGAGATGGGAGATGTGATGGTGGGTTCAACGTCAATGTATCCCTCTTCATCCGGGGAGAGCTGGTCAGCGAGGAAGTAGTGGGTGAGTTCAGGTAGGGAAGGGATTCCGATGTGAGTTGCCAGGTCTTGTAGATTGCGGGGATATGACCGATCTTCAAGCAGTTTGTAAGCTCAGATGATACAGTGTTGATAATGTAGTTAAAACTCACCTCTTGTCCGGGCGAGAACCACATTGCCCAGTACCCGCTCAACATCAACTGGCTCCCCATCCTCGCCCTCATCCTTATCACGTAGAGCGGGCGGACACTCTGGCGGCAACATCTTTCGACTGATGAAGTCGGCCTTTGTCGCAGCGAGCTTGTCAAGTCTTTGGTTGGTGAGTAACATTTGACCGAGGGCTTCGAATCGACTTGACCGACGCCATGGTTTCTTGACAGCAGTAATGTGCCGCGACTCGGTGATAGACGAACAGATGCCGTTCAGCGCGCCAAAATCTTCGATGTTGCGACGGAAGTGGACAAGCGAATGTTGGCGAGGAAGATTGAACCCGCTTTCTTCACGAACGCCGGTTGTTCGAAAAATCTCCCTGTGAAGATGGAACCGTGCCAGAGCGGCATCAAGGTCATTGAGTGTCGTTTCATCAAAGTCGGAACGGCGAGCGATGTAGCAGAAGTCGAGAAAGGCACCCAGACACATGACCATTTCATCTGGAACGAAACCCACGATGGCGGGGAGGTAGACTTTCATCAGTGCCTTGGAATCATCACCGGTCCACTGTTTGAAACGTCGACCCTGTTTGAATCTGCGGAGACCCGGAAACAAGGGTGTGGCAGCAATTCTACTCAACACATGTCAGATTTCAATGACGTGAAAGGGGATTTGTTAGGCACGACTTACCGACGGTCAATCTCATCCAAAATCTTGTCCGCCCCCGTTCGGCCGTGCTCAAGTTCCAAGTATTCCCCAACCCATGTGACCAAGTGGTCCTTGAACGTTCCTTTGATGACTTGGTGTAGGAGATCCGATGAGATTAGTTCATGGATGTCAGCGCGGGGGAAGTCGCATGTAAAGGGCTGAAGTGGCATGAGTACAGTGACATGTCTTGTCAGATGTACAGAATTCTTACCACAATGTCTTCATCAATCCCAAATTCATCCCACAGTTGCGTTCCGCTGAATTGCTCCAGCAAGGTTTCCGTAAGGTCATGTCGCCGTGGACCACTTGGTGGGTCAAGCTTATTACATAGTGACGTGCATCTAACAAGGAGTCAATATAAAAACATTGGTGACGTGTATTATGCTGCATGCATACCTGGGACACCAGCCTTGAACAATCCCTGTAAGCATAACCTGTTCGGGGTAGTCGGCGATGAAGGGACCAAGATCGTAGATAACTCGACGAAAATGCCCATCAGGGCAGCGGCGAACAACAGGCTTCTTCATCGCCGCCTTGAGTGGCGAAAGGATTGCTGAAATTGATGCGTGAAATAGTTGACGCTTGAACTTGCGGAATTCGGGATCACTGTCGTACTTGCGATCACCTGGTTTCAATCAGTATAATATAAGAGGGAACTGATCATGAGAGAGCACTTACTCTTTGGAATGGCAAAAAAACCGATAGGAATCACGCCCTGTCGATGCCCACGACGAGCGACGTTGTGTAGGTTGCCAGGAGAGAGATAGAATGGGTGGTATTCCACATCTCCCGTTGCGACCGAGACTGTAGTCTTGTCACTGCCAAGGATGCCAGCGACGTACATGGCTCCCTTGGTTGTTGGGTCGTCATTGAAAATTCAATCCTATCAATGCAGCAATAAATATGAATCTCTGGTTAACAAAGGAAGGAAAAAAACGTACACATTGTCGCCAAGCGAAATTAGCTGACATGAAGTCACTCCATCTCCGTTTGCCGTTTGCGTTGACTTCCACATATGGTGTTGTGTCGAATTCCCCATCAAAGTCGGGGTTGGCGAGCATGTTGCTGAGGACGACGTCGGGATCCCGGAACCATATTTCATACTCCTTCTTCTTCCAACTGGGCGCCGTAGAAGGGAGGTCGTGTGGGACTGTGGTTTTCATGCATTTCCACGGCGCGTCTCCCTCAGACGATGCATCAATCATGTCGTAAATTTCTTTGTAGCTTGAAAAAGGACCAGTATGCCCGTGCTTCATCGATTGCCATGCCCAAAGCTCAAGCAGATAGTTGATGTTCGTCTGGGACATCTCGTCGATTCGAAAAAGAAAGTCGGCCGTTTTGAATTGAATGTCATCCTCGTACGGTGACCAGTCCTCTGGGTCAGCAGTGGTGCGGGGAGGTGGTGGAGTCCCCTCAGGCAACGTGTTCCCATGTTCATCGCAAGGTTCACCTTTAGAAAACATTAGTTTCCTGGTTCGTTGTTGTAGTTTTTCACTCACCATTTAAAAATGGATGGTATTGTTTAGATGCACGATGACGGGGAGGAGGGGGGCTACCACTGGGGCTTCTCGAAGCTCTTGAATGATCTGGCAATGCCGAAAAGTCATGGGGGGGACTACTGCTTGATCCAGAAGGTGGTCTGATGCCATGGACTGCATTGGTATCCCGGTGGAGAGTGTTGAAGTGGTAGGTTTGTCCCTGGATGCTCCGAAAGGTTTTGGGGCAGCCAGCAAGTCTGCATGGATAGCGAAGGCCAAAGGACGACTTCTTTCCCTGTTTTCGAGGCATGGATTAATACTGACAAGGTTGAAGGAGGTATTGGAAATTTTAGGACTGACGAGGATGAAACCGGAAACCGGCTGAATGTTGAACATCAGCCGTGTCGCCTAAGCGACAAACACGCAATCCAAACCCCCTGCCCTGTTCTCCGCCCTTCCACTCGCCTCCTACGATGTCCACACCTGGAGAGGTTCTCCCCAAGCGACGCGTCACTGCTGATGGCGAGTTAGGCCAACTACACAACAAATATTCTCGCAAACGACGACGCACCAAGGAAGAGATCGCCGCCGATAAAGCAAGAGAGGCGGAGGAAAAGGTAGAAAAAGAGCAACAGGCAGCTGAAGCCCACGCAGAATCGTTGCGCATTGCTGCTAGAAAAGAAGATGACGTTCAGCGTCGTGAGGCTCAGATCAGAGCGAATTCTACACGCCCCGACCTTGTGACAATGGCGGCTCACCGAAAATACCGTGCCAGAGAGGCAGAGGAAGCAGGTACGGCTTTGCTTTTTTACAAAACATGACATTGATTCTGGTATAAAGAAATGGACATTGACGAGTTAGCAGCTGAGGCTGACAATTCGGAGGGTGCACTCACCGATGACCCTATCCAGTTGCCACCTTTGTCGACCATGGGGACAGACTCTGAACCCGATTTTACCTTGCGTAACGAAGGATTTGAGGGTGAAGAGAGTGGAAGCGATGATGAATACGAACCTGATCGTGAAGAGGGGAGCGCGAAGGACACAGGGCGAAAGAATTCCATGGTTGCGGAGGGGGAAGACGACGAGGATGAGGCCCGTCTCTTCCAGGAGTTTCTGGCAATGCGTAGGAAGGGGGAAAAGTTGAAGAAGAAGAAGGCGGCTGAGAAGGTGTGTGAACGTCGACTTGATCGTGCTAATTATAAACACTGATGTACTCACATCAAACCCACAGAAACCTGAACGCGGCGCTCTTCGTGCACAGATTGAACAACTGAGGGATGAGCCCACTCCTGCGCCCACTCCGCTGAGTGCCAAACGGAAGACTATGGTGGCCATTGATGTTGACGAAAGGTGAGATTTATTACAATAACTTACTGTTTCTAATGCGCCACCTAGTCCAAAAAAAGGGAAGCGCGCAAAACCCGCGGAGATTGGCGGGCTCAAGTCAAACTGGAAGAAGCTCGTCGGTGTTGATAAGCGCCCTCCGCCATCCAACAAACGTGAATCCTCACCCAACATCACTGACGACTTGGACAATGAACTCAAGGGTGAGTTTGCGGGGGACGAGAGCGCTACTAATCTAGCATCTGCACGCAAATCGAAGACCACGGACGCTGCTGTGAAAAAAACTCTTTCAAAGGGAACAGCTCAGGTACGCTGTCACCTGTCTATCACACCTGTTTACGCTAACAACGCGGTTCGTCCAAGATGGGGATCACCCTGCAAGCCAAGGTGGAGCCTGCGGACACTCCACTTCCAGTCAGAAGTGAAAAACCGCCAAAATCGACCTACGTGAATGGGGACCTTCCCTTCGAAAACCATCGCCGCGACCTCAAGGACTGGCAGCACAAGTTCATCCCCGAGTTGTGCGACTGGGCGGGGACCATCGAGCAACCCTTCACGGCCAATGCTCACCCGGATTTCGCTCATATTGTCGAAACACTTTGGGCTAGTTACTTTCCCACTACAGGGGTGGCTACTGATGCTGTCCATTTCATGGTGCGCTTTTCTACTCTCACGACCTTCAACTTCATTGCTGACGTCGTTTGTATACATCTTAATCAGGCGTGGTCCGCACTGAAGAATTGGAGGAGCGACATTGGCAAGCGTGTTCTTGCATACCTCAAGAACCTTTTCGCAAACAAGCCGTTCAATAACGATGCAGTCAAAATTCAAGAATACGTGGCCGCTAATCTCCTCAAAGTAACCTTTATCTACCGTGATCAAAAGGTGCGCTCTCGTCTTTAACTACTACTTCCGATACTGATAAGTTTAGAATATGACAGGAGCGTATCGCTCTGACATTGTTCTAGATGTGTTCGCTTCCCATCTTCGATATGTCATGCAGGTTGCCTCAACCCATGGAGACCAAACAGGCGCGATGTCTGTCTGCGTAGCAGCGGTCTGATTTTTTTCTTCCCTTTTCCGTAATCCTACTGACATACTGCACATTCAGGTGGAACGCGGGTTGACGCTGTGGAAGAACGGAAGGGAACCATCAGCTGCTGATGCCACCAAAAAGAATTTCGTTGTCAACCCCTGGGCTGAACACGCACACAGATATCTTCCGAAGATCAAGGAACTGTCGGTGAAGAAGTGGGAAGCGATCATTCAACTGGCCGCCCCCTTCATCAAGAACCCGGACCTCATCATCGATCTTACAGAGGAAAGCTACATCAAGGATGACATGCGAGGAGACGTTCAGCTCTCTCCAGACGAAGATTCAGAGGGTAATTAACATGTGAGTACCTCTTACATGTGTTCTGAACCATGTTTATTGTTTCACTAGGTCGTCGAACCTGCTATTACATTAGTATTACAACGTGTCTGTGTAGTGGTGTGGTAATAAATAATAGTGATCTTTTTGTGGGCAGCGTGGTCTGATAATTCAAAACATAGGTTTGTGGTCCCATAATGAAATTGTGGTAAGTTTGTGGGGCCACAAGTGATTGTGGCGGGTCAGTCGCCACCACAGGTATAATGTCCCCACTATTGTTTGTGGGAGTGTGGTTTGCGTGAGACGTGTGGTGCCACACGTGCCACACGTGATGTGATTTTCCTGATAAGTTGAACTTCGCCGGAGGTCAGTGGGACTGTGGAATTGAGTCCCAATAACTTTGTCCGGTCTCATCATGATCCTAGAAATGCTCTGCGTTTAGTTTGCAAACAGATTAACTCTGCATGGGAGCCACAGGTTTTGTCAACGATCAAGTTATCGCCGCAAAATCTGTCATCTCAGGTCGAGAGTCTTGCTACCGCTGAGCCAAAGCCGACTTCTGCCTCGAAATATGCTACCTGTCTTGAAATTCACGGTCTATATCTCCTGAAAGACAGGGATGTACCTTCAGGAGAGGAGGCCAAGGTTAGGACATTCCTCTTCCCAGCAGTTGCGTCCTTGACTGGGTTCGAACAGTCATGTAAGTCCAAAGCCCTGCTTCAGAGAACATATTGATGCGTTTTAGATGGGATCTGCACGCCGTCGACCCAGAGTGGGCAGTTGTTCTAGTACTCGACGCCCTTGCGTCATTTCCACTTCTGCAGGATCTCCATCTGAATTGTGGGACTGAGCCAAAACCTTGTTGGCAGCTATGACAGTTGCCCCACATAGTCAACTTCTCCTTTACCAGCGCGTGGGAGTTGGATTACGACCGCAGCATTATTATCCCCATTGCGAGATTTATTGATTGGAATCAGCCGAAGTTGAAAACCCTCACAATCGATAAGCAGCGATACTACTACAAAAACAGCATACAAAACCTCAAGACTTTCTCTCTGGGCCACCCGATTCAGCATTCTTGAACATCACACATCTGAACTTGAGTGGGCTGTTCGTAAAACTGGACGCCACCCTAATACTTCATTTGTGGTCGTTGACCTCCCTCCATCTTAAAAATATTCTCTCGACTGAGGATCCAGAGGAAACATTTGGTCGTCTTTGCGGTTGGAAAACATACATCTCCATGATATCGTCACGGATCACATCCAACTGGCCCTCATCGAGTATCTAACATCATTCTCTGGGCTTCGACGTCTCAGACTTAGACGAGCTTCACGGTTTTCCATGACGCCACTTCCATCTGATCAACTTGCCATCATGTTTTATGAACGGGCTCTACAAAACCACATCCGTTCCCTCGAATCCCTCGAAATCGACACAGGATATGAAGGGAATTGGTCCTTTCCGAACTACTGTGCCAGCATAATACAACAATGTGGATGCCTAACCACTCTTAAATTACCCATCGACTCTAAGGACATCGGAGAAGAGGACGACGATGAGGAGGATGAGGATGGAAACGAAGATGGAGATGACGACAACGGTGACGGTGATGAGGAGAATTCACCCCCTGGCAGAGGCAATCGCAATGCAGTTGTATGGTTCCAATTCATAACCACTCATAAGCGTTATAACCTCCTTTACAGTGGTTACTTTTGGACATCTGCGCAAATCTACCTGTTTTGAGGGCTGTTGAATTACTGAGTACTTCTCAAGAAAGCACTCGAGGGGACTACGCATATGAGTATACCGCTGATAGGCATGCTCGGATGGATGGCAAAATCGCCAATAGAGTGAAAAGTTATGGGCCGATCACCTCCGGTCATGCGTTCCGCGTTTCCGTAGCTCGAGAAGAATTTGAGTTGCGGTGTGATGAGTTGGGTATGAACGTTGGGTACCGACGTATTAGCGTGGACACTGATGAATCTGGGTGGATAATGGAATGGTGAGTCGATAGTAGAGTCACTAGTATGTACGTTGAGTGGTAGGTATCTTCCTGGAGTCGTTACATGGTCAGGCAGAAGAAAAAAAAATGAAACACAATATATGGCACCTACGATTCCAATGTTTCGCAAAACCTGAGAAAGGACCCTCCAAAATCGGACAACGGCGGCGGTCTAGGCTTATCATTCTTATGCTCCGCTTGTATGTGCCTAAGAAGCTTAGCGGAACTGCAAAAAGGGCGTCCTCACATCCTATTTCACGAAAAGGAAAGGGGAGGCTCTCCGGGCACACACACAAGATCCCGTCCCTACTCTCATATACGCATTTTTCAGCAAACCAAAATGCATTGGTGCATATCGAGTTCTCGACGTGGTTCTGCATCGTCTCCACGAACAGGTGTAAGGGTTTAGGCTGCAACATGGAGTCGGTGTTGAACAAAAGACGACATTAAAATCGGTGGCACACTTTAGTATGAATCGCGAATCCTGAGTTTGTTTGTGGCTAATTTTCCAACGTCCGTTGCCATATGCGTGGGTGCCAACAGAATCTTTGCTATCCGGACCAGTCTTTACGATTGATGTAATGTTTAGCGCCTTGTAAGCAAGTAAGCAAGCACACAGCCGAGTTTTTGTGGGTCACGACTCACGATTCTGACAAGTTGTTGCTCAAGAAGGCCCCTTCGGCGTTGATGCCAGTGAGGTTTTGGTAAAGGGGTGCGTGGGCGGGAGTCTTGGTCTGTTGCGTCTGGGTAAGGGCGGGCGCTGTTGCACTCGCGGGGGTTCTGTCTGTGGGCATGGGCGGCGTGTTCGGCGTCGGAGTCGTCGTCCTCTAAATCTATGATATCGGAGGGCTCTGGCTCATCGAGGAAGGAGGGGAGTTTTTTGGGCGTATATTCCTCAGATCCCCAGTGAACGTAAAGGCGCCTGAAGTCGGCTAGGACGGCTATTCCCTTGGGGGTTCCCAGCAGCTCTGCCAGTTGGAGCGCCAGGTCGCAATTGTGTTTGCGTAGCTAGAGTGTATCGGCTTCCCGAATCTTAACAATGTTAACGATTAATGTTTAGCGCCTTAAGTAACCAAACAGCCCGTGGTCACGAATCACGATTCTGACTTGTGGTTCAACAAGCCACCTTGGTGACCTTCGGCATTGATGAGGTTTTCAGAAGCTTTCTAGACGGTTGACTGAATGTCACAGTCAAAGCCGGAAGAACGTTTACGTGCCTGTTCTCGCGTTGTGTAGCTATAAATTAGTAATGTGAAAGGTTTGGTAAAGGGCCGCGTGGACGGGAATCTTGGTCTGTTGCGTCTGGGTAAGGGCGCGCTCGCGGGGTTCTGTCTGTGGGCATGGGCGGCGTGAGTCGTCGGAGTCGTCCTCCTCTGAATCTATATCGGAGGGCTCTGGCTCATCGAGGAAGAGGGGGCGTGTATTTCTCTCCCGTGAACGTACTAAAGGCGCCTGAGTCTCGTAGGAAGTCGGCTAGGGCGGCTATTCCCTGTGGGGCTTCCCAGCAGTTCTGGGAGCGCCAGGTCGCGGCTGTGTTTGCGTAGCTAGAGTCTTTCGATGTTCCTTGTATCGGCTTCCCGAATCTTTGCTACAACCGGAACGTTAACGATGCTAACGTTTGATGTTTAGCGCCTTGTAAGTAATCAAACAGCCGAGTTTTGTGGTCATGATTCTTACAAGCCACCTTCGGCGTTGATGAGGTTTTCGGAAGCTTTCTAGACGGTTGACTGAATGTCACAGTCAAAGCCGGAAGAACGTTTACGTGCCTGTCTCCTGGTGCCTCTCGTGCGTTGGCGTGTACCCGCATGCTCGCAGCTCCTGCATAGCTACTCGAAATTGTGAGTGCCCTGCTTCTTTTCGCGTGAAAATGAGCCCACTGGCAATGGGCAACGTGTGACGAGAGCGTTGAATTAGAGTTCCCGCAGCTTTACGCAAATGCCGGACCCGAAAGGAGGAGATTCAGCTTCCAGTAATTGAATAAAGCTGAGTGGCACCAATCTTGTGAATATTTCGAAAGGACGTGTCTTGAGTGGCAGACGGATCAGGTGAAATGTGGTGATGAGCCAAGCAAAGTCAAAGCCATGCCGCGTTGTGCTTTGTTCCCATGAACGAAACTCTTGGCTTGCACAAGTTGAAGATGAGCCAAGCCCGGGTGGTTGTTATAAGGACCAACGGCACTCAACCATCCTTGTTTCCACTCATCTTTCCTTTCTTTTCCTTTCTTTCTCACTCCTTCATTCTTTATTCATTCAACACGCTCAGGTCGTGCCACTATTAGGTTCCATTTAGACAATGGCTTTCTCAATTCAAAAGTCTTTCCTTCCTCTCCTCGTCACCGTCCTTCTCGCAACCATCTCCTCGGTCCAGGCGACCCCTTATCCCTCCTTTTCGAAGCACGCGACTCATAGGGTTAGGCATGTGGGGAGGGGGTTGAAACTTGAGGTGTATCATCCCAAGAACACGTTCAAGGTCTGTTCTCTTTGCTACCACTCCTATTGTTCTTTTTTTCATACTGACGCGTGCGGTTGGTTGATAGACGTACGGCGTGGACGGTGCACCCTCCTCCTCATCCTTCACTGGATCCAGTAAACCACTCAACGAGTCCGCCATGTCTTTCATCTCATCCACCGGCGTCGATCCCAAGCATATGGCTTGGAAGTCTGGGTATACGGAGGGCGAAGCTAGGTTTGCATACATCAAGCAGTCTTATGTGCGTGCCACCCTGTGTTATCTTCGAAATCCACCAACATATCTTTACCACAGAACGGAGTCCCATTCGCCAACGCAGTCGCGAACGTCGCCTTTCACGGTGACAAAGTCGTTTCCTACGGGTCTTCCTTTGTCGATCCCAAGACATGTACGTCCCTCCCCTCTCCCTCTCTCTCTTAATGCCTTACCAACTCCCGCCATCCAGCCAAAATTGCCCCCTCCACCCCCTCCGTAACCTGGAAATCCGCCCTCCCCGCCATCGAATCCGCCTTGGAAGGGAAACACAACGGCCTAGAACCAACACTCGAATACCTCGTCAAACCCGACGGCTCCGTCGCCCTCACGCACGTCCTTCAAATCCGGAACGAGGAGACCGATGCGTGGTATGAGGCGTTTATCGATGGGCATAGTGGGGAGTTGATCAGCGTTACTGATTTCGTCGCTCATGCTTCTGTATGTTCTTTTTTCTTTCTTGTCGTGGTGTTCGCCCCGCTCATGCTTTACGCAGTACACCGTCCTCCCGATCACGAAACAAACCTTCCCTGAAGGCCTCGAAACGCTACGTGATCCACAAGACCTCCAATCCTCCCCATTGGGATGGCACAACACCGGTTCGGGAAACTCGACAACAACAGCGTAACGTCCCCTTTCTCTCCCTCTTCTATCCACACCCCTCATTATTTTATCTAGCGGAAACAACGTCATATCCTTCAAGTCTTCCCAAACCGCCACATCCACCGAAACCTCCGCAAACCTAAACTTCAACCGTGTCTACACAGACTCCCAAGATCCCACCACATCATCCAACATCGACGCCGCCAAAACAAACGCGTTTTATATTATTAATACTATGCATGACTTTGCGTATCGGTATGGGTTTACGGAAAAGGCGTTTAACTTCCAGCAGAGTAATCTTGGGAAGGGCGGGAAGGAGGGGGATAGGGTTTTGATGAGTGTGCAGGATGCGTCGGGGGTTAATAATGCGAATTTCGCTACGCCGCCTGAGTGAGTTTCTGAGTCGTTTTTGGGAAGGATGGATGAGCTGATGATGCGTTGGATGGTAGTGGGCAGTCGGGGCAATGTAGGATGTTCATCTGGACACTTACCAACGTGGGTCCCTTTTTTCGGTTTTGACTCCCGATGAATAGCACGTTTTTGACACTTTGTCTTCTTTTAGCCACGCCGCGATGGAACGATGGAGAACGATATTGTGATCCATGAGATGACCCATGGGATTACTAACCGTATGACGGGTGGTGGTACCGGGCGGTGCTTGCAGACTACAGAGTCGGGTGGGATGGGTGAGGGGTGGAGTGATGCTATGGCCGAGTACGTTCCCCTCCACTTTCCCCAACCCCCTTCCCTCTCCCCGTCAAACACCTCACTAACCCCTCCCACCAGCTGGATGGCCCAATCCTCCACAACCACAAAAGACTTCATAGTCGGCCAATACGTCGCCAACCGCGCCAAAGGCATCCGGTCGTTCCCTTACTCGACCTCCGCAACCACCAACCCCCTTCGCTACTCGAGTTTGCAGAAGCTCACGGAGGTGCATGATATTGGGGAGGTGTGGGCTAATATGTTGCATCAGGTGTATGCGGCGCTTGTAGCTGCGCGCGGGTTTTCGAGTAATAAGTTGACGGATGCGGGTGCGAAGGAGGGGAATGTTGTGTTTATGAGGGTTATGATGGATGCGCTTGCTATTCAGCCTTGTAATCCGACTTGTGCGTTTCTCTTTCCTTTCCCCTTTTTGTTTTCGGTGCTTTCTTTTCTCTTTTGCTTCCTCTTTATTTTATCGTCTGAACGCTGACGCTGACATTCTTTTTTTTCAGTCATCCAAGCACGCGACGCGATAATTCAAGCTGACCAGAACAGGTTCAACGGGGTGAATAAGTGTATTATTGCCAAGGCGTTTGCGAGCCGTGGACTTGGGTTGAAGGCGACTGCGAAGTTTGTGGATGATGCGACGCTTCCTGCGGGGTGTTAGCTGAGTTCGGGGAGCAGGATGCTTTGCTTTGAAGTTACATACATTCTTTTGATATACCATTTTCCTGTCATATCGTCGCTCTGCGTGTAGATAGTAGTTCTCCAAAATGACAGCGCATCTGAAGTAGAGTTCCCGGGTGTCAAGAAGGATTTCTTCTGACCCCAAAACCAGGGACGTTGGCTGTATGGGCGTCGCCAGGCTATCGGAAAAAAGTCAAGCCAAGCGAAAATTGAAGCATAAGTTCAACTTTTTTCAACTTTTTTACAACGTCAGATCATAGTTTCGCCTCCCCGCAGGGAGCTCATTTCAATTAAAAATGTCTAGCCATTGCAATTTTCATGCAACAGCCAGACGTGGTTCGGTCTTCCGTATTTTACTGACTACTGACGTGAAGGGGTACTGTTTACAACAAAGAAAAGTGTGGGCCTGGAGGGCTTAGGAAATAGTGATGGGAATGTTTGAAGACGACTTGCACGCATTGGCGCAAAGAGACTATCTACAGAAAGACACCAGAAAACAAAGAAAATAAGGAAAGTACATGAAAAACTTACAGAATACACGGCAATGCACAAAAGGATGGCCATGTCGGGGCGGACCTGTTTGAGGACTGAAGAGGCTTTCCCGCGGTGAAAAGGTGCATTCGTCGAATGGTCTATTCAGATGCCAAATGAATGAGTTGTTGAGCGTGGATATATAAAACAACGT